GTGCGGGAAGACTTTCGCACAATCAGCACATCTTAAAGTACACATGAAAATCCTCACTGGAGAGAAGCCGTTCACATGTGATCAGTGCGGAAATCAATTCAAAGAAAGAGGAAACCTTAACAAACACATGAAAATCCACACTGGAGTGAAGCCATTTACATGTGATCAGTGCGGGAAGAGTTTCACATACAAACAAAGTCTTGAGCTTCACACGAGAGTTCACACCGGAGAGAAGCCACACACGTGTGACCAATGTGGAAAGAGCTTCACGCAACCAGCACATCTTAGAGAACACATGAGGATCCACACCGGAGAAAAGCCACACACATGTGATCAGTGCGGGAAGAGTTTCACATACAAACATAATCTTAATGATCACATGAGGACCCACACCGGAGAGAAGCCATTCATGTGCGGTCAGTGTGAAAAGAGATTCTCAAACAAAGCTAGTCTTGAGGGTCACATGAGTGTTCACACTGGAGTGAAGCCGTTCATGTGTGGCCAATGTGGAAAGAGCTTCACGCAATCAGCAAACCTTAAACGACACATGAGAGATCACACCGGAGAGAAGCCGCACACATGTAATCAGTGTGGAAAGAGCTTCACGCAATCAGCAAACCTTAAACGACACATGAGAGTTCACACCGGAGAGAAGCCGCACACGTGTGATCAGTGTGGGAAGAGTTTCACACAATCAAAAGCCACACACATGTGATCAGTGCGGGAAGAGTTTCACACAATCAGCAAAACTTAAAGAACACATGAGGATCCACACTGGAGAGAAGCCGTTCAAGTGTGATCAGTGCAGCAAAACATTTCTTCGGTCATCAGCTCTGAAGGCACACCTGACGGTTCATACGCAGGAGAAGCCACATTCCTGTTCTGTATGTGGAAAGAGTTTTTCACTGCTGCGGAGATTACATAGACATGAGAAAATTCACACTGGTGTGAGAGAGTACATGTGCTTTGAGTGTGACAAGACTTTTATTACAGCGGACTGTTTAACACGGCATCAGAAGATTCACACTGGTGTGAGAGAGTACATGTGCTTTGA